GAGGCTGCCAGGCCTTTGTCACAGCCCCTGAGTATCACCAGTGCCCACAGCTGGTCGAGGGAGATGCTGTAGGATTCCTGGGGTCGGGAACTGGTGGGCTGGAGGTGGGCTGAGAAATCAGCCCGAGGGAGGCTGTCCTGGGTCTTGCCAGCCACATGGTCCGCACAGCGTTTGCCTGTCCTGTGCAAGGTGAAATTGACACTTCCTGTCTGCACAGTGTCTCATACTCAGGGTGCTCAAGCCCCCAGACTGGGTGTATCTGGTGAGAGGTACTGAATATGTCTCTTTCATTAACAATTGTAATGAAAAGCATTTTCACTGGCATCTGTGTTACCATTTGGCTTTCATACTGGTGAGAGATCCTTGGCTTCCAAGCTACTTGTGTTTCAGGCTGGTGTGTTCGTGTCACTTGCCTCTCAGAGGGAATGGGCTTCCTCACCAGTGGGGATGAGAATTTGGGCTCGGAGTCCCAGGCACAGGACCAGGGCCTCAAGTGATGTTGGCTCAGGCGGCTCCCAGGCCCCCAGCTCCATGCCTGGGCCGCTCCAGCACATCTGCCACTAGAGGAGGGACCTAAGCGTGACTCAGTGCGTGGTGGCAGCATCCACCCAGCCTGTGCCTTTGGTCCTGGCCCTCCCAGGCACTGCCACTGTCCCCTCCTAGGGCTCCATGTCCCTGGACTGGGGAACTTGTATGGCCCTCTGTGGTGCCTTTCACGATGGGGTGCATGAACCAGACATAGCACAGGTCTTTAGTACCGGCAGTCACACATGGGGAGGCAGCGGGCAGGACAGGGGTAGCCGACAGGGTGGCAGTTCTTTCAGGCCCATCTCAGCTCCATGGAGCTAAAGAAAAACCAGTGGACGTGGGAAGCTGGCTCTGCTCCTGCTGTGGGCTCCGCTTGTCTACCTGTCTGTCTGTCTCTTAGCTTCTTCCTGCCCAGCTGTCTCCTCATTCCTCATGTGAGCTTTGCAGGTCCTAGTGCCTCTGGCATCCCCCAGCCCAGCCTCCAAGGGACAGTGTTCCTGCCACTGCAGCTTGGCCCAGGGTGTGCTCAGCCCACTCAGGGTGAGCCCAGGTATCCTTTTGCCCAGCGAGTATAGGGAGCTCCGGGGGGACCTCGAGGAGATGAGATAAAGTGCACTGGCCAGATCACAACCTCAGAGAGCACTGTGTTCATTTTCCAAGGTCACCTGATCCCGAATCCTTAGGCTTAGTCAATCTGAGCTTCATCTTTTACATAAGCTAGTGTTTTAATGATTCGTCTTTGCAGGTGGACCCTGTCTGCCTCACTGGAAGCTGATCTTACTGAAAAGCTAGGTGCACACCCAGCTGACCCAGCGTGGCCTGAAAGCCTCAGATATTACGTTCTTCCCCTTCATGACAGTGCACTCGGTCTCTGACCTCCCACACATCTGGCTAGATGGGTGTAAAGGCTTTTATTGTTTTTAGTTGACTTCAGTACTGGAGGCCCCATAATCCTGAGTGGTAGTTTAGCATAAATAGTAGCATTTTAAGGATGAGGAAGTTTTCTGGCTGAATCAAGTTTATGTTATGGATCTGATAGTATCAAAAAAATGGAATGATTTTGTGATAGAGTTCTAAAACTTAGCATGCTGGCTAAGCAAATTGGCTTGGGTGGATTGTGAAACTGTCAGATTTGACGTTTCATCTTAAATCTCCAGAGCTCCAGTTGGAAGATGACAGCCGGAGCATGTTTTAAAGGCGTCTGTTATAACATTGCTTCGTCTCAAGAGGAGTGTATCAAAGATTTTGACTTTAAAATTGCTAACATTAATAATGTATGACATAGCCCAGCTTTTATTAGCACTCATCTTTAATGTATGTAATTTTATTCAGGAAGGTTTAACTGTGCTTATTATCATCAGTAAGAGTGTAACTCGGGATCAGGGATCTAATAGCCTCATGCCAAAAACCGTCCCCAAAGCGGGAAAAGTGTGGCTCGTCGTTAAACCCAGCTCAGCCATGTGCTGCATACAGCCTGCCATCTGTCTGCTCCAGAACCGGTGTGTGTTGTTTTATGGAGGCTTCTCACTTCATGGCTGGTCTTTCATGTGACAGCAGCAAACTGACACCCTCAAAGACCTTGGCCGCATCCCCTGAGGCTGCACACTGGGGCCACCTGTGTGGCTCTTGGCTCAGAAGGGCAGCGTCTGGGCTGTCAGCCTGGCTGCTGCCCGGCCAGGGACAGCCAGATGGGTGCTCTTCAGAGACTGTCACAACCTCTCCCAGAGCCCTGAGCAGAGCTCAGCATTGCTGCTGCCAGGGGCCATGGGGAGGAAGCCCAGGGTCACTGGACTTTCAGGTCCCTGGGCAGCACATGCAGAGACCCCAGGGGTCTGAAAACCCTGCCGGGACACTGTGGTCAACCTCTGGGTCCTGCCTGATCCCCATGATGGAACCCCAGTCCCTTGCAGTGGCTCAAGAAGGTGATGCCCTGGGTCCTGAGACCCCTGAGCCTTCAGGGATGGAGGCTGTACACCCTTGAACAGAGGCCCAGGAGACCCCTTCCCTACCCACCATGGGGACTTGACGAGCAGCTGCTGGCTGAGAGCCAGGGCCCAGGACTGCCAGCCTCCAGCTGGAAGGACCAGCGCTGCCCGCAGGACTCCTTCAGGAGCTCCATGGCCAGCACACAGGACGGGATCCACGCAGTAACGTTTCCAAGTGTTCCCTCCTGGCATCTTTGACTTCCTAAAAGCTGTGCTTCCTGGTCCTGGCCGAGTGGACATAGCACTGACCTGCAGAATGTTTTGTCACCTGGCTGGTGGCTTCAGGCTGCCTGATTCCTAGCAGAAGTTCAGAGTCCCTTATATGACCTGGCCATGGTGGCCCATGTCTGTCACCCCCGGGCTCTGTGAGGCTAAGGCAGGAAAACTGGGCTGCAAGTTCAACCCTAGGTTGGGCAATGTAGCAACTTAATAAAAGCTCAGCTCAGCCTTTGGGGGGGGGGGGCTGGGGCTGGGATTGGGGCTCAGTGCCAAGGCCTAGGGCTCCGTCCTCAGTGCCACAGAGCAGTAACAGTAGTGAAGGCTCCCGTGCCTGCACTGTGGGAGCCAGAAGTGTCGGGGTCTCAGGTTGACCCTGGATGTGGCACACTCACATGCTTGGGGTTCAGATTCTGGAGCTGGACTCCAGCTCTGCACACAAAACCCTGGAAGTGCAGGAAGACAGCAGCACAGAGCGCCTGGGATCTACCCAAGACTTGAGGTGCCAAGGTCCGGTGTGTGACTGTGGCCTCGTAGGCTGTGAAGTGTCTTCAGACGGGGGAGCGTTTCAGGTTTCGGCTTTGTCCACCTATGCTGTCGGCCCAGAATTAGACACCGCTGTAGGGGTCTTGCTGTGGTTATGGCTGCTTTGCTTTTGATCCCTCATGGGAGGCTGAGCTGTGGGAGTTAGCATTTCCTGTTTTCATACAGAGCGAGGTCACTCTGTGCAAGTTTCCAGTTTTTAACCTGTGAAATCTTGGCTTGCCTCGAGCGGGTCCAATCTGCAGTCGGCGATGAGGCAGTGGAAGCTGCTGCTTGATGAATCGGTGCTGGGGGGACTCTGGCTCACCTTGGCTCACCCCACACACACCACACTGGGCCCACATCCCAGCTGCGGACCTCAGGCCTGGCTATGTGACTTACTCAAGTGAGGATCACCAGCCCTCGCCTCCCTGCCTGTGTGGCCAGGCAGTGGATGCCAAGTAGGTTGGAAGGACCAGCTGTTTCCCTCCAGTTTGAGTAGTACAAGGAGAGAAGGGCAAGGTATCTGGCATCTTTGGTGTCCTTTTGGAGGGAGAAGGACACCTGCAGAACCTCCACATTGCCTGGGCAGATACCATGGGCACAAAAGTGGCCAGCCCCAGTGAGGGCTGGAAGCCAGAGCCAGGACCTCCAGGACTGCCCACATCACTTCCCAGGAATGTACCCAAGTCCCTGGATCATCAGCACCACGTTAACATGTGCTAAGGGCTTCCCACCCCATCCCACTGTAGCCCGTGGGTGGCGGTGACCCCAGCGGGACACACTGGCTCATGTTTCCAGTCAATTGGGGCAGGTTTGTCAGCTCTTTGAGAACCAGAGGCAGAAAGGAGGGTCTGGGCTTCTGTGCAGGGAGCCTGGGCCCAGGGGGAGGTGGAACAGGATGGAGGGCAGGGGCCCTGCTGCTGCTGCTGCTGCAGTGGAGATGAGACCTCTCCGAGCTCTGCGGTCTCAACCTGCCCACCTTCTACCCAGAGCAGTGGCGCAGAGTACCTGAATGCCTTTCTCCACAGGGTATTTGAATTTTAAAAATCAAAGTAGAAGACATTGCCACGAATCCCATCCAAGCGTTCCCCATGCCTTGGGTGTGCTCTTCCCCATGCCTTGGGTCCTCTCGTGGGCTGCAGCAGCTCTGGGGTCCTCTTTCCTGAGTGTCTTTAGTTGCACCATCCTGGCTGCTGCCTTAAAGTCTTGAACGGATTAAAAAGTCCCTCCATGGTTATTTTGACTTTGGAAGAGCCGTAAGCTGCCCAGGGCAGATCCAGGAGTGAGGCCGGGAGGAAGGCATCCTGTTCCGCAGAGCCTGCCTTGCTTCTGGGCAGCACCGGCACAGTGTCCCCTGAGTCTCTCATCATACCTGGTAGAGGCACGCTGGAGGGCTCCAGCACTTCGTGGAGTGGCAAGAAGACAGGATGAGTATGTTCCAAGGGGAGGAGTCACAGCCCTGGGCTTCCTCTGAAATAAATTTTTAAACCTTCAGACTTGCTCACCACATGCCTGACACTCCTGTCCCAGGACCCCAGGTCTCTCTGATGTGGGCAGTGCTTCCCTTCCTGCCCAGGGTCTTGAACCTTTGGGTCGCAATGACCTGCATCCTGAGTGAGGGAGAGGTCCGCAGGCCTCACCCTGAGTAACTTTGCCGCTGCCCCAGGCCACCTTTGGGCGGCCTTTGTCCCAGCCCGTGTGTCCCCGCCCAGTGCTGCCCACACTGAGCCCACTTTCTCCCCACAGGCCTCGGCAGGACTCGCAGGAAGCCCAGCGCGCGGGATGCGTCCCCAACCCCCAGCACGGAGGCTGAGTTCCCGGCCAATGGTGCAGCCGACCGCATCTATGACCTCAGCATCCCGGCCTTTGTCAAGTTTGCCTACGTGGCCGAGCGTGAGGACGAGCTGTCCCTGGTGAAGGGCTCCCGTGTGACCGTCATGGAGAAGTGCAGTGATGGCTGGTGGCGGGGCAGCTTCAATGGGCAGGTGGGCTGGTTCCCGTCCAACTACGTGCTGGAGGAGGTGGACGCCATGGCCGCCGAGCCCCCTGGGATGCCCGGGCCACGCAGGGCCCCTGGCCTGAGCCTGGCACGGGGCACCCTGCACGTGGTGCAGACGCTGTACCCATTCAGCTCAGCCACAGAGGAGGAGCTCAACTTTGACAAGGGCGAGACCATGGAGGTCATCGAGAAGCCCGAGAATGACCCTGAGTGGTGGAAGTGCAAAAACTCGCGGGGCCAGGTGGGCCTGGTGCCCAAGAACTATGTGGTGGTGCTGAGCGACGGGCCGGCCCCACATCCCGCCCCTGCCCTGCAGCCCGGCTTCATGGGTCCCTCGGCCAGCGGGCGCTTCGCGGGCCGCGAGTGGTACTATGGCAGCGTGACACGCCACCAGGCTGAGTGCGCGCTCAACGAGCGGGGTGTGGAAGGCGACTTCCTGGTCAGAGACAGCGAGTCCTCGGTAAGTGCAGCCGGCTGCACACCGTGGCCCCATCGTCCGGGGGTGGGGATCTGTGGCAGAAAGAGTTTGGGAACAGTCCCCATGTCACCATTGCCTGAGTCAGGTTGACTGTCACATGCGGCTTTGCTGCTGGGTTATTCGTCCTGAGCCCTGCTGCTCCCTCCCGAGACGGAGGCACAATACAACCGTCAGCCCACCCCTGAGGGCTGGGTTTCCCCATGGCCGCAGCTTGGGCGCCCAGGCCCTGTTGCAGGGCAACTCCTAGGGATGCCCCTGGCCAGGTGGTAGGTAGGACATCTGGGGCTGGCACTAAGTCGATTGGGTATGACCTGGAGCAGGTTTGTGACTCCATGTGCGTCTGCACTGGGGGTCACAAGCTCCTGTCCCTGTTGCCCCTACTTTCCTGGGGACAACAGGGCAGGTTGAGTGTTCTAGAGCCCCATGCAGGTCCTTGAGGCCCTGGGCTTCATAGCTCCTGGCATCCTCTTCTCCAGGCTGGGCAAGGCCTGCACTTTCCTGCTTGCACAGGCTGTGTGTGAGGGCCCAGCCTCAAGGGGTGACCCATCCAGTCCTAAGGTGGTTTCTGCTGCCTGCTCCATGTGTGCCACAGGGACAGTTGGTGGTCCCCAGAGCTGTCCGCTCTGCAGTGAAACCCCATGCTAGAGGTGTAGGCCCAGGGTCCAATGACAGTGTTGCTAGCGGCCCTGCTTTCCCCGCCCAAAGGTGGAATGCAGGATTCGGGCCCTGTGACAGGGAGGAGGCACTCAGGCGGGCAGAGGGGGCTGGGCCCATCCCCACCATTGTTGGTGATGAGTGAACCCTCTCTGCCATCAGGGCCAGTGCACCTGGAGATGCCTCAGTTGGGTGCTGGGAGGTGGTGGCTTCTGAAGTCAGAACACCAAGGCTGCTCATGGATCATGGCTGGCAGGATATCTGCAGAGTGGCTGTCACGTGGCAATAGCCAATGGGGAGCTGGGGACCAAGCTGCTTCTCCCATGTGGCACAGACAAAAGGTGCCCAGTGTAGAGAGGCTGCCCATGCAGACAGGAAGCTGGGAGGACCTGGGAGGTGCGGTGCCTGCAGGGGCCCTAGGGAGGGTACACGGGAGCAGTGTCACCTCTGCATGGGGCCCCTGCGGGTGCCGGTCACTGTCCAGCCAGGGACTAGCTGGATGGGACCTCTTGGATGGCAGGGGACCCGTGTACCTATCGCGGTTCCAACTCAGTTTGCACTGGCCACACCGCTCCATCTGCCTTGCGTTGTTAAGTGTGCTTCCGCTGAGTGGCGGCTTTGCCAGTCACTTACAATTTTAACTGTTTTCATGGGTCCTTTAGGTCCTTTACGTTCTGTTTTAACTTAGGAGCCAAAGGGGGGGGGTGACTGCACACCCAGATGGAACACAGGACTGGGGCTGCGCCTCCCTGGGGCTCCCAGGTCCTGTGCAGCACAGGAGCTTGCTCGGTGGCCCCCTAGGGTCCACTCTGGGTGACCCTTCCTCCTGGCTCGAGTGTCAGTGCCTTTCGAGCCTGCAGGGCTGCTGCCCTGTGCTCCATTCCACTGTGGCAGAGCAGGCTGGTGTGCTGGGTCCTAACCAGGCTACTCGCTCCCCAGCGGCCTCCTGACACACAGGGACACATCCCTGGCTTGGTGCTTTCCTGGGCTTCCGCTGCCCCCACCACATCTCTTTCCTGCTCATTTGGGATCTCTTGGGTCTCAGCCTGGCTTTCACAGCTATCACCTGGCCACTGAGAGCCCTCAGTTCATGATCTGTCACAGTCTCTGTGGACACAGGAGGGGTGCCTTTGTACCATTTGCTTGGTGGCCTGGGACCCGGGGCTCCCTGAAAGGAAGACTCACAGGCAGCCCAACTCTGAGCCTGTGCCCCAGGTCAGGGTCGTACCTTCAAGGTGTGAGTCACTTAGAAGCATCCCAGTGACTGAGACAGGACTGAGCCAGACTCTTTTTCCCAGTAAGGCCCTGGCCTTCACACTGGACTACGTCCCTTGTTTATTTTTTATTCTGAGACGAGCAAAGTCCTTAATCTGCCCAGGTTCCATGCTGGAAGTGGAGGCTGTACCACCTCATCTGGCTGATATATTTTGCTGTTTTTCTCCTTTGAAGAATAGACACAGGCCCATCCCTAGGTGCTTGCAGGTCTGGCCTTTGGAGGGGACCAACCACCCTGCTCGAAGTGTCTGTAGGATACCCGCTGGGCTCCTCGGCAGGGGACAGACTGGCTCCCTGGTTTGGTCCTTCTCCCTGCCTTGTCCTCTCCTATGTCATCTCCAGTTGTCATTTCTCCTCTTCAGCCAAAGGGGCCGGTGCTGTGTCTTGTCCACCTTCCGAGTCTTGCTCTCACCCCTGCAGCTGGGTGTCAGCCCTGCCCTGCCTGGGAGTTGGGAGCCTGCCTGCCTCTGTACTCACCAGGCCATGCATGCGCATCCACCTGGCCCAGGGCTGCTCAGAGACCCAGCCTGTAGGTAACTTCATTTCTGTCTGGCTGTGCCAGATGCCACCACTTTGCTTTCTCAGGTCGTGGCCTAGCAGGAGCCAAATGCAGGCTGACAGGGACTGCTGGCTGGTGTCCACTGGGTCCTGGGGGTCATTTCCTCCTGAGACTTCAGCTCGCAGAGAGGTCTCGGTTTCCCTCCTGTGTGCACAGACTGCAGCGTCATAGAGCACCTGCTGTGAGCAGGGCAAAGCGGCCCTGCTAAGGGAATTTAATGGAGTGCGTATTGGCCTCACAAAGGCCGATGTCTGCTCTGTTCCTCTTTTTATGTTGAATCTGTTGATATTTCCTGGCCAGGAAATAAAAGAATTAGAAGAGGTCATTGGGAGACTTTTTTAATTATAAAATTTCTTATGAAAATCTCTTAAGTGCATTTTCATCCGTCCTCCTTTGTAGCTGGCGTTTCATGCTGCAGGTCTCCCAATTCCCTTGAGCCTTGTTAAGTCAGGTTTGGGGGATCCCCCCATCAGCAGCGTTCTGGTCTGGTCCTCAGAATTTGCATTGGCAGCACCTTCCTTTGGCGCATGGTGGCTTATTATGCATCCATAATGGTTTTGTGCATTTTATAGCAGTTATTAAAACACTGTTTCTGCACAGTACGGCACCCCAGGAGCTATGAAAAATGCTTAAAGATGAAAATCCCAGCCCTGCCCTGAAGTTTAATTGTATGTAGAAATATTTGCTTCTGTCACCTTGAATTCGTGTCTTTCTGCTAACTTTCTTACTCTTGAGTTTGAGCGTAAACTGGCAGCTGTGCTATGGGCTGTCACTTCACAAGGCCCAGGGGAGCAGAGCCAGCAGCAGCCGAGCTCCCTGGGGACCCACAGCGCCCACGTCCCGTAGTCCCCGGAAGAGGACAAGCAGGTCGTGGTGCACTGTCTTCCATTTCTGTGTGTTGTGCCTGGTATCAAGTGACAGCGTGCGGCCCAGCCTCATGTCAGGCCCCTGACTGTAGGTCGGGAGGCCCCTGAGGCCAGACACTGTGGCCTCTTCTGGCTATCATTGTGCTCAGCGCCTGTGTCTCAGTAGCACCGGCTTCTCTTTTCCCAACTGCAGTGAGCGGCTGTGGGCCACGCTGCCATCTGGGAGGAGGATGCCCCTGGTCTACTCAGAGCCACTCCTCACATGCAGCTGGGTATGCAGAAGATGTATCCTTTCCTGGAGGCCAGGATGCGCCAGCCACTGACCTCCCTGGCCTCCGTAGGTCCGTGTCTGTGGGACCAGCGGAGTCTGTGATGTCCAGGCAGGGCAGCCAGCCTCTTGTGATGCTGAGTGCACTGAAGGACCAAGAGCTCAGCCTCTACCACCTTCTGTAGGAGAGAAAACAGGCATCAGCCCGCACCCTGCCTCGGGCCCCAGGGCTGTAAAACCTGGAGCTTTCCCAGCCACAGCAGGACATCACGGCAGGTACTGTACCCTGGCCTCATGGGCCTGGGTCACAGTCACAGCGCAGGGCCGTGACAGCACCCAAATGCCAGCCTCCTGGCTGTGTTTCTAAGGTACACACGGGACTCAGGACCCGGCACCCATTGAGTTCTGTGTTTGGATTTGGGTCCCGTCCCCAGGATGCCTCACTACGGTGCACACATCTTCCAGAACCTGAGGTTCCCACGTTTCCCAGGGAGGACTCTGGCCCAAGAATCGCTTGCACTTTTGCCTCTTTTCGGAGGGAGTGTGGCAGACAGAAAGCAGAACGGAGCACGAGTTGTGGCCTGAAACTCACCCCACTTCCTGGTGGAACTGGCTAGGAGCTGCTCCTGGGTGCAACACTGGGCTTGTCACTGTCACCATCGCTTCATCCTCACTTTCACAGCGCAGATGGCCCGGCCAGCGCCCTACATGCAGGCACCAGTGTGTGTCCCTGCTCACCTGCCACACTGTGGTCCCCCACCCACCCTGACCCCAGCAGACCCTTCCCTCCCCGCCCACCCTGATACTTAGCCACAAGATCGTGCTCCCCTGGCCAGGCCACATGAGACCTCTAGCGTGTCCTCGCCACCACCACCATGGGCGAGAGAAGTGTTCATTGTCTCTGTCCAACTGGACCCAAAGAATGACTTCCCAAGCTAGGAAGAAAACACATCCAGGTCATCCAGCCTTCACAGTGTTCTGACATATTTTCCCTAGGCTCCCCCAGCTCACCAGCTGGGGGAAAGATGTCTGTGGAGCTCCTGTAAAACTGATAGCACACACCAGAAATGTTTTCTTCTGGAATATTTAGAGGCGCAAAATTGAAGACAGTCCTCAGTCAAGTGAAACCCCATCGCTTGAGTCTTAAGAGCCACCTGTGCAGCTGATATGTGTGTGCCTGTAGAGACCTCAAGGGTCCTGCTTGTGTCCCCCTCAGTGGTGGTGGCGCTGCAGGGGCTCCTAGTGGCTGTTGGCCTGCAGAGGAGGCAGAGTCAGTCTTCTCCCAGCCACCTGACTAAGATGGCTCAGTTGAGCAGTGGGGTGGATGAGGAAGTGCCACTGGCCCCTCCCATCTGTGTGT